TGTGTACTATTGTTGGTTACAGTAAGAGGAACTACTGCTTCAACTAAAAGGGGTTTCTGGTGTTAAAGTCCAGTCTTTTGATTCTGTCAGCTGCACTCTTGATTCTTAATACACTGCATTGCATATGTATTAGTTAAATATATGGCCATATTCAGCTAAACTAGTACGATCTGCTTTGTTATTATAAAATAGTAAGTGTATGTTCAGACTATAATATATGTGTACTGTATGTCATTTACACATCAATTATCCCCAGCACATAGCTCAACAAAATGCATTCTGTGTGCAATGTATAGGGTCCTCAGAGAACAATGGATTCGAGCCAAATACGAAAGAATGGAGTTTACAGAGGAAAAAACAGAAAGACCTTACACAGCAGGTAATCTATTTCAGTTCCCAGATGGTTTCTGTTAACCTTTGTACTTTAAAATTTATTTACCTTATTCTGTTTCATCTGCTAATATTAACAATGAATAACATGAATCTTTCAATGAAATTGTTTGCCCTGCTCTAGGTGTCTATGAGGGCATGCTGTGGAAGAAAGGAAAGGATAACGGACAGTTTCTCGAGAGAAAGTTTGTTCTTTCAGTGCATGATTTTACCCTCAAATACTACAAGGAGGATGTAAGAACTTTTTTGTTGAGCAATGATGTTTGCACATCATCAAGAAAAAAACATTTTTTTTATCGAAGGCATTTGTTGTAAATGGCAGCACAGAATAACTACATGACATTTAAGTCCATCAAAGCTAATAATATGCATTAATCATCCGATATCTTTCATCTAACACAATTCTAGCCGTATTTGAAAATATTTGACTTTGATTGAAAATAATAGAATCTAATGAAGTATTAGGTGCACAAATGAGATATTCATTAAACACTATCTGTGCTCTTCAGGAATCTAAGGGACCAAAGGCTACTATTTCTGTGAAGGACCTGAATGCAACATTCCAGCCTGAGAAGATAGGACATGCTTACGGCCTTCAGATCACCTACTGTGTGGATGATCACACCAGAAACCTTTTTGTTTACCATAAAAATGGACGGGTAAACCTCTGGAACTTTCTTTTTTTTTTCCTGCTTTATTCCCAATAATTGTACAACATGTCATGCAGATTTCAAAGTTGTTGTTTTTTTTCCTTTTTGTTTTGAACCCATTTTAAAGGCAGCTTGAGCACTAAGCAGTATTTGCTCTGTATTTCCTCCCTTTTAGGAGATTGTCAATTGGTTTAATGCCATTAGAGCTATTCGCCATGTCTACCTAAAAACAGCCTTTCCTACAGCTAGCGATGGAGATGTAAGTACATTTTGTATACTTGATTTTGACTTATTAGAGTACCATGTGTCGCCTACAATTTGCTTTACCTAGGTTTTGAATATCTTAAAAACATGTGTAGAGTTTTCTCCCGTTGTAGTTGTTAACATTGCCACATAAAAAGGAAGTACTACAAGTTTCCCCTTTTCCAAGTGATTTTACTTCCTAAAACCATCAACAGCGTAAGGCCTGTCTTCCCTTCCATTTCACAACATGAATGATCATCAAACAAACACCCTACACCACAATGTTAACAGGACACGGAAATGTGGTTTTGTTTTTTTGTGAGTCGCTGCATCCCTAAACAAGAAACGCGTTGTTTAGTTGGTTAGCTAACAGAATGCTGTTTGTGTCTTATATTCAAAAGTTTTCTGGGCTAGTTCAGGAACAAATTGTTCACTGAAAATCACTATAGATGTAAACTTAATGTGGGTCAATGACATTTGTGCTACATGTTCATCTGGATCAGCTCTGTAGTGTTAGCATTACACAAAAGGGTTTCACTTGGCGTTACAATGCTACAAAATGATATTATAAAATGTAAGCACAAATGTTTATTACTAGAAATATGATTGAAATTTAATCTAAATAAAACCAAAGCTCTGTGAAACAGTTGTGAAAGGTGATCAACCTTTTTTACGTTTTTTTTTTCCTTGTGCGAAGGGTTAATAATTGTATTATTATTATTATCTTGATTATAAACTCTTTTACCAATGTGTTCTTTTTTTTTTTTGTCTTAAGCTAATACCATGGATAACCAGACGCTATTTAAAAGAGGGTTACATGGAGAAGACTGGCCCACTGGTAGGAGTTTTCCCTCATAGATGGTTGTCTCTATGTTGATTCTTTGCATATTTTGAAATCGAGATTTTCCAGTGTAGGAAGGTGTTTATATTTGCCCTTAAATTGCACAAGCATTTAAGGATAAATCAGGCTATTGTAAAACACTCCTTAAACACCTCTTTACACATTCAGAAAAAGTAGTACACCATTACATGTTGAACCACTCTGTCCATTTTTTATATATTTCCAACATCTGTATAGTTCTGCATGTGCTATTCTATTATAACATTTCTTTATTGTGTTTTATTGTCCTGCTGCATAATGCAGAGTATGGTAGCTTGTACGAGAACAAAATCATTTTCTACCACTTGCTGTATGTTGAGCATGTGACAAATGTCAAAAGTCTGAAACTTTTGAAAACACTGGCTGTTTGTGTATGTTGAACAGCAGCGAGAGCCTTTCAAGAAAAGATGGTTTATTTTGGATTCCCTGGACAGGAAACTACTCTATTTTAAAACACGACTGGTATGAATTGCTTTTTTCCGTTCTTACTGTGTCAGTGTTGGCTGTTTTTAGTTCACAAAACTCTAAACTTGAAACCCGAAAGTGTCTAATGAATTTGAAAGCATTTCTGCTACTTGAAATTGTAGAGGGAGTAATGTGAATTTTCTCTTCTTTTTATCCTAAAGGATGCCATTGAGCTTGGGGTAGTGTTCATTGGCTCAGAGAGTCATGGATATTCAGTGAGAGAGTGTGTCCCTAAAGGGACGAGAGGCAACAAATGGAAGTGTGGGGTAATTGTGGAGACGCCAGATCGGCAGTTCGTCTTCATGTGCGAGCAGGAGCGCGATCAGAGAGAGTGGGTGGAGGCCCTAAAAACCGTCATCTCCAAACCCATGATGCCGCAAGATTACACCAGTAAGATTATAACACTTTTGATCAGATGTGCTAATTAAATATTGCAAAACATAAATGAGGTGTTAAAAAAATAACACTCTTGTCTCCTTTTCAGCTGAAGCCAATATCCGTAGACGGAGGTGAAGACCATGACTGCATGGGACAATAAGCTCAGACTCTGTCACTAAATCTATTTAAAATAGATTGACCCCTGACATGCTAGGTAAATCTAGGGTTAAAACATTTGAGTTCTAGGCACTCAAAGGGAACCGTGGAAGAATGTGACTCTTTTGGGGGGCATTGTTTCCTAACAAAAACTGTTTTTTAAAAAAGTCTCGGTGCATTTTGGGATGTGAAACAAATCTGAGAAGACTGCAGTAGGTCAGATGAGGACAGACTGACTGGTTGAACTCTCTGAGGAGCACAAAGGATATGACTGCGTCTGAAGATGGATAAGATCTGGGCTCTCAATACAAGTAGAGATCGCAGTGAGAGGTCAATCAGACTCACATGTGACTGTGAGTCCACATGCAGGAGCTGATAATAAGGAATAATGCTTGTACAGAAGTGGACACATGCAAGTGACATGAAGTGTGTGATGAAAATGCTAATCGTAAAACACCTGGGTTTCATAAACTGACATTTGGCCAGTTTTTATTTTGTGATAATCATATGGGCGACTGAACAAAGCTGACTTGTTTTGATGTTCACAGTTTATATTAAAATCTATTTTCAAACCACATATTACATCAATACTAAGTTTGAAAAGCCCATTATCCTCTGTTGCGCTTTTTGCTGCTAACATGGTGGATGTCATTTTCTTCACTGACTAATAACTTTAGCATTATGTTGATATTGCTAGATTGCTATTTATTGAAATGTATATTATATTACATTATATTTATTATAGTGACGTAATAACAGTTTTACAGATAACTGACCCAAGAGGCTATCATTCACAGCAAAGTACTGTGGACAATTTGTAGCCTGGATCTTAGATCAGCTTTCAGCAGTGATGGTTGTACTTTTTGGTGCTTTCTTGTTAATGTTGTTCAGCAAAGACAAACTTTTACAAGTGAAGCAGAAAAGTGAAGTCATTTGAAGTGCAACCCCACAAATATATGGTTTAGGTAATCCTTTAGTTAATGGTTTTGAATTAGGTATCTTTTTTATAATTATTGAGCGATATCAATGTACACACTTTTTCCATAATTGCATATCCAGTCATACATAAATATCCGTGTATATATCTACACACAATAAACAACAACAAAAAAAACATTCTTTAAACATTTCAGGGGGTGGCAAGGAGAAAAAGGTACAAAATCTTACCTTTTTATTTTTTACTTTTTTTGTTATTATGCAGCAAAAGAACAAGTACAAATACAAAGACAAACAAAAGACACTGAGGGTTACGTACATTAGCCTAATCCAAAGCACACCATGAAGGGGTCTTACATGAATTTCTTAAAGAGTTTACATACACATCAAAGTCTTTCCTAAAAACAAAAAGGAAGGTGTCATCTCTGAAAATGTACATTTATGAATGTAAACTTTGGCAAGAAATAGCAATAAATTAATAATACATTTGAAGTGAGAAGTGTCTGTATTCAAAGAGTAACCAAAAATTTTTTTTTGGGGGGGGGGGTTATGCAGAAATTTTGATATAGATATTTTTTTTTACAAAATTGGAATCTTACGATTCTTAAAAGAACATTAATTTTTGAAACAATTTAAAGAGGGTTTACTGTTATTCCACTTGCTTTTATGTATATGATATTTACCCATTGTAATAATAATGTTTAACATCAATAACATCTTTTTCGAAAGGCCATCTGCATAAACCAAAACCTGAAATAAATTTAGTGACGGAATATCAGTATCAATATCAATATTTAGCCAGCTGTAAAGATCAAGTATAACACGCGTTTCCTCTCCAGTCCTACAGGAGGCGGTATAACATCACAACTGCGAACGGTAAACAGAAAATGCCAGCGCGAGGAGATCCGCGTTTGTCCGTAGCTGCGTTCCGTAGTTACCGGTTATTGGAGGTCAGCCGTTTCTGGCGTGAGCTTGAAATGTGAACCGAGAAATGTCATGAAGTGAATCTGAAGCAAGCAGTGGCTTCATAGATGCGGAATCGCTTTGTCTCACTGGCATGAATCACCTGTGTGTGTTAAACTGGTGTGAGCAGAGGCTTTATTCAGACTGACAACGGCAGAAGTTGATCCGTCCGTGTTGCCCTACAGAGGCCTGCGCTATTGCATATAGCTGCAGGATCAATGATCTACGACAAAGCACTTGCTCGTTTTTTATTTTGATCACATCAAAGTTGCAACGATGAGAAAGGACGTGAGGATATTACTTGTCGGTGAACGTAAGTGAATTGATTCAGTTCAATTGTGTCAAATGGCTGCTGTTAGTCAATTGATTTGCATATCTCTAAATGGTCGATATGCGCTGCTGTTCACTATTATATGCACAGTAACATCCTTCCATTCTATATTTTAATGTTTTTGCAAACATTTTTTATTCAGCCATATGAGAGTAAATTGACAAGTGACAGAATGAAATATATTTTCCCAGAAATAACAGGTATTAAGCTTTGTACATGTTTTGAAATGTTGTCCAAACTGACTACAGTCATTAAAAATTTGATGTTAATACACAGGGTATTGTGTGTAAAATAACCCAAATAATAGCAGTTTGTAATCATAACTGAGCAGCTCAGCAGGCTCTGATATTAAAAATGGGAGTGTCATCCTTACGGTTTTGTTGTTAGTTTTCACCCGTGTTTATCAGAGTTGTTTATAACAGTTTTAGGAGCAACTCTCACAGGCCTCCAGACTGTCAGAGCTGCCAAAGTTTAGAAAGGTTAGCCAAAATAGTACGTGTCCATGTAAACGTACTGCTCACCAATGCCGAGCCATCAAGCTTCAGACCGCTCAGCCTGTCCATTTAATATTTCTGCCCCACTTTATATTAGGTGGCCTTAACTACTATGTACTTACATCAAAAATTAAGTACAATGTATTTATTGTGTTCGTATTGTATTGCAAAACACTTTTGCTGCTATTGAGGTGGGACACGGGTAAGGTTAGGCACAGGTTTGTTGGTATGGGTAGGTTTAAGAGTGGGTTAAGGTGTAAAAGAGGGGTCAACTGTGTAATTATAAATGTAATTACAGAAATTAATTACAGATGTAATTACATGCAGGTATTTTTAAAATATAAGTACAATGTAAAAACATGTATGTACACAATAAGTGCATTGTACCAAATTATTAATTTAAATGTAAGTACATAGTTGTTAAGGCCACTTAATATAAAGTGGGTCCAATAATTCTCTTTAGTCATTATTGATGTGTGACATCTTACAGGTGTTAAGATTTAGATGGGAACATTCAGAAGATAACATACTGATCGCTCATCAGTGCGTTTTTATATTTGGAAATATTAGAACCAGGGTTATTGTTATTAACTTAAACTAAAGTTACTTAAAATAAATGTTAACTAAAATTAAGAATATTAAACTGGTTTTATTTTAGGTAGATGACAAGGCAGCATTTCTCATTTTCATTTGATGTACTAAAATAACTAAAACTGTAATTAAAGTTATGTTGACACATTTTAAAAAGAAACAAAAAATAATAATGACTAAAACACAACAAAATTACTAAAACTGCAATAAAAATTATGTAGACACATTTTAAAAAGAAACAAAAAATTGACTAAAACACAACAAAAATCTTTTAAATTAAAATGAAAACAAATTTAAAATATTAATAAAGCCTATAACAGCTTCTCAATGATTTGAAAATAACACTAATCAGAACTTGCCCATTAGCTTTTTTTTGTATTTTTTGTAGTTTTCAGTTTACATAAATGTTTATGTAAAAGTTAATAAAAGTTTTCACTTTTTAAAACAAGTTTTGTACAGTTTGCTAGTTCATTTTGATATTGTGGTGTGACGTGATTTTTTTTAAAGTAGTCTTTATAAAAGCTGCATGGTTGATATTGAAATTAAACAGTTCAACTGAAATGTGTGAACTACCCCTTTATAAGGGCGCTCATCTTGACAGGCGTGTTTCTGTTAATCATTTGGTGCTATTAATAGATCTAGAGCACAGTGGTCATTGTGGACTTCTTTTTCTTCACAGCCAAAGTGGGGAAGACCTCCCTGATCATGTCACTCGTCAGTGAGGAATTCCCTGATGAGGTACAGTCATTCACTGAAATGACTCTTCACGTTCTGAGTGCACATGCATTGCATTAGTATTGTGTTTCTCATGCTTGTGTTGTGCATCTCATGAAAGGTTCCTCTCAGAGCTGAAGAGATCACTATTCCAGCTGATGTCACACCTGAGAGAGTGCCCACTCATATAGTGGACTATTCAGGTACTGATACTTGTACATCACTGTACGATGAGACTCATATGGCCTGCATTGCTGTTCTTATGTCAATGCCGCAAGCCTCTCCTAAGGTACTTATTCCTTTAGTTTTTAATTCTCTTCTTCCATATTTCTGATCCCACAGAAGCAGAACAGTCAGATGAGCAGCTTTACCAAGAAATATCAAAGGTGGGGCTGGTTTTAGTCTCTTTGCTGACACAATTTAGTTGGATTTTATTGTTTTATTCACCTCCCTTGTGTTTTCTCTCTTGGCACAGGCCAATGTTATATGCATCGTATATTCAGTAAACAACAAGAAATCAATCGAAAAGGTAAGTCTTGTTTCCTTGTATGCCAAACACAAAAATGCACCAGCCTGTAGTTACCAATCCAAATACATGTCTTGCTCTATAACTTAACTTCTTAGTTTTTTGTTTGTATAATGTAGCTTTTACTTGTGCAATGTATTGGCGTCCTGTAGGTGACGAGTCATTGGATTCCCCTCATCAATGAAAGAACAGATAAGGACAGCAGGTGTGTGGCGTCCTGCCAGGTTTTTAAACTTACTGTTTTTGAAATATGTATTCTATTAAATAAGGTTATGACACCAACATTTTTGATGCAAGTCAAATGTCACAGTTCTTGATTTCAATTTTGATGCTGCAGCAAAAAATACTAGCATAACACACACACACACACACACACACACACACACACACACACTTTCCCACATTTACACAATCCAAGTCCGAACTTCACAGATCTTGTATGAAGTTTTTTAATCAAATGTGAATTGAAATATATTTAATATATTTGTTTTCTATTTAATTGCTCTACTTGAATAATCATAAAACTATTTAAATTTTATGTACACTGTCAAAAGTTTGGAGTAATTAAGATGTTTAATGTCTATGAAAGAAGCTTCTTATGCTCAACAAGGCTGCATTTTTTAAAATCAAAAATACAGTATAAACAGTGCTGCTTAATATTTTTGTGGATGCCATGATACACTACCATTCAAAAGTTTGAAGTAAAAAAAATAAAAATAAAATAAATGAATACTTTTATTAAGCAAGTATGCATTAAATGGATCAAAAGTGACAGTAAATACATTTATAATGTTACAAAAGATTATTTTATTCTTTTTGAATGTTCTTCTTTTGTACTTTCTATTCATTAAAGAATCCTTAAAAAATGTATGATGGTTTCCACAAAAATATGAAGCAGTTTTCAACTGCTGAACTGGATGCTTCAACTGTGATAATAATTAGAAATATTTTAGCATATTAGAGTGAGTTATTTTAAATTGTAATAATATTTCTATATTGTTTTTACTGTATTTTACATCAAATAAATGCTGCCTTGGTAAGCATAAGAAATGTCTTTCAAAAACTTGTGGTAAAAGACTAAAAATGCTATGGTAAAAACCTGTTAAATGATTAATAGTAAGTTCCTTTATACAGTGAAAAACTGAAATACATCTAATAGAATATAAATCTATATTTTACAGTGAAATGTTTGGAAGTGCAAAAGAAAAAAGTCATCTTATAATTTACAGTTAAAAAAAAAAAAAAACATAAGTTGACATTACCGGAAATCTGTGTGATGCTTTACATTTGATAGTTTTTCATTGAAATAGCTATGTGTCTTCTTATGTGTTTTTCTTATCCGTTATGTACATTGGTGTTTTATATGATTTCTTTATGTTAATGTTTATTGCATTATCTTAATGTTTGTTACCATGGTGATTTTTTGTGTTTATGTGTATGACACTGTGCACCTTCTATATAGTAGTATTTAGTATTTACCTCAGCTTGTGGTAAATGATGAACTTTAATGTGTCATGGGTCTTTCTCTTTACCAGCAGTAATTTAAAGGGATAGTTCAAACAAAAATGAAATTACCCCAAGATTTACTCACCCTCAAGCCATCCTATATGTATATGACTTTCTTTATTCAGAAGAATACAATCCGAGTTATATTAAAAAATGTCCTGGCCCTTCCAAGCTTTATAATGGCAGTGAATGGGGTTTAAGATTTTGTAGTCTCGCGTAGCCAAACCTTCAGATTGACGGCAGAAGGTCTGGGAACCTTGGCCGCTTTGAATGGCCAAGGCCCGCCCAAGAGGCCATATGACTGACAGGTAAAGTAACCAATCACTTTTCGTTTTGTGCCGCGTCATATTTAGGGGCGTGGAAATGTCCCCACAATGACAGACCGCCAAACTCTTGGACTTATTTGAAAGATTCTATGCCGCAAACTTTAAATATTTCACATACTTTTGAAAAGCTGGCGTTTAGTTGATCCAGATAAGCGCTCGTCGTCACAGTTGTAAACATATGATGACTTTCTTCCATGAGGGGGTTTGGCGTCACAGCATATTTGTTTCCAGGTGGAACGTTAAGGAATGTGACACACACGTCTCCCGGAAATCCTGTATATTTGAACCAGTCCAATAGGGCTGGGTTTTGACACAAATTTCACGATTCGATTCGATTCTCATTCACAAGCTTGCGATTAGATTTGATTCGATTCAATATCGATTATTTTGAATATATATCAGGTACAGTACATGGCAAATTTTCTCAAGGAAAAAAAAATCCCTCAACTAATGCTGTAAAATATACATGAGAGTCAGTTGGTACTACATTACTATAATATTGAAGGTTAAAATTGACTGATTTGTTAAAATTACACTTAATGGAAGTTTTTTAAATAATAAAGTTACAATTACATAATAATATTTCTACTTCAATTTATTTTTTTGAAATATAAACATAATGGTGGCTGTCATAAAAACTTGATGGATTTATTCAAACATAAATTAAACATTGAAGAACAGTCAAATTTATAATGAATATGTTATATGGTGCATATATTTAGCAAAATGCCCCTCCCTACAGTTTATTTATTTTCTCTAATGAATCATCGCCTGGGTGTAAATGTGCTTTTTTTCTACATGCTTGCTTTCTACATGTTTTGTCCAGAGTGCACTGACTTGATGCCTTTGTAGTATCAGTTTGCCAATGAATTGATTATAGGAAGAAACATATACATGCTACTGTTCAAAAGCTTGGAATAACTAATATTTTTGAACTTCTCTTATGCTCACACATTTGAAGCCATTTGAAGCCCTGCCACTGAGCCAAGTGTAATAACATTGTTCATGGGTTTGATGTTTTAACTTTTTTTTTTTTTTATTTATATAAAGTGGCTCAAGTTATATCAAGTTAACTACTATGTACTTACATCAAAAAAAATAAGTACAATGTACTTATTGTGTTCATATTGTATTGCAAAACACTTTTGCTGCTATTGAGGTGGGACACGGGTAAGGTTAGGCACAGGTTTGTTGGTATGGGTAGGTTTAAGAGTGGGTTAAGGTGTAAAAGAGGGGTCAACTGTGTAATTATAAATGTAATTACAGAAATTAATTACAGATGTAATTACATGCAGGTATTTTTAAAATATAAGTACAATGTAAAAACATGTATGTACACAATAAGTGCATTGTACCAAATTATTAATTTAAATGTAAGTACATAGTTGTTAAGGCCACTTAATATAAAGTGGGTCCAATAATTCTCTTTAGTCATTATTGATGTGTGACATCTTACAGGTGTTAAGATTTAGATGGGAACATTCAGAAGATAACATACTGATCGCTCATCAGTGCGTTTTTATATTTGGAAATATTAGAACCAGGGTTATTGTTATTAACTTAAACTAAAGTTACTTAAAATAAATGTTAACTAAAATTAAGAATATTAAACTGGTTTTATTTTAGGTAGATGACAAGGCAGCATTTCTCATTTTCATTTGATGTACTAAAATAACTAAAACTGTAATTAAAGTTATGTTGACACATTTTAAAAAGAAACAAAAAATAATAATGACTAAAACACAACAAAATTACTAAAACTGCAATAAAAATTATGTAGACACATTTTAAAAAGAAACAAAAAATTGACTAAAACACAACAAAAATCTTTTAAATTAAAATGAAAACAAATTTAAAATATTAATAAAGCCTATAACAGCTTCTCAATGATTTGAAAATAACACTAATCAGAACTTGCCCATTAGCTTTTTTTTGTATTTTTTGTAGTTTTCAGTTTACATAAATGTTTATGTAAAAGTTAATAAAAGTTTTCACTTTTTAAAACAAGTTTTGTACAGTTTGCTAGTTCATTTTGATATTGTGGTGTGACGTGATTTTTTTTAAAGTAGTCTTTATAAAAGCTGCATGGTTGATATTGAAATTAAACAGTTCAACTGAAATGTGTGAACTACCCCTTTATAAGGGCGCTCATCTTGACAGGCGTGTTTCTGTTAATCATTTGGTGCTATTAATAGATCTAGAGCACAGTGGTCATTGTGGACTTCTTTTTCTTCACAGCCAAAGTGGGGAAGACCTCCCTGATCATGTCACTCGTCAGTGAGGAATTCCCTGATGAGGTACAGTCATTCACTGAAATGACTCTTCACGTTCTGAGTGCACATGCATTGCATTAGTATTGTGTTTCTCATGCTTGTGTTGTGCATCTCATGAAAGGTTCCTCTCAGAGCTGAAGAGATCACTATTCCTGCTGATGTCACACCTGAGAGAGTGCCCACTCATATAGTGGACTATTCAGGTACTGATACTTGTACATCACTGTACGATGAGACTCATATGGCCTGCATTGCTGTTCTTATGTCAATGCCGCAAGCCTCTCCTAAGGTACTTATTCCTTTAGTTTTTAATTCTCTTCTTCCATATTTCTGATCCCACAGAAGCAGAACAGTCAGATGAGCAGCTTTACCAAGAAATATCAAAGGTGGGGCTGGTTTTAGTCTCTTTGCTGACACAATTTAGTTGGATTTTATTGTTTTATTCACCTCCCTTGTGTTTTCTCTCTTGGCACAGGCCAATGTTATATGCATCGTATATTCAGTAAACAACAAGAAATCAATCGAAAAGGTAAGTCTTGTTTCCTTGTATGCCAAACACAAAAATGCACCAGCCTGTAGTTACCAATCCAAATACATGTCTTGCTCTATAACTTAACTTCTTAGTTTTTTGTTTGTATAATGTAGCTTTTACTTGTGCAATGTATTGGCGTCCTGTAGGTGACGAGTCATTGGATTCCCCTCATCAATGAAAGAACAGATAAGGACAGCAGGTGTGTGGCGTCCTGCCAGGTTTTTAAACTTACTGTTTTTGAAATATGTATTCTATTAAATAAGGTTATGACACCAACATTTTTGATGCAAGTCAAATGTCACAGTTCTTGATTTCAATTTTGATGCTGCAGCAAAAAATACTAGCATAACACACACACACACACACACACACACACACACACACACACTTTCCCACATTTACACAATCCAAGTCCGAACTTCACAGATCTTGTATGAAGTTTTTTAATCAAATGTGAATTGAAATATATTTAATATATTTGTTTTCTATTTAATTGCTCTACTTGAATAATCATAAAACTATTTAAATTTTATGTACACTGTCAAAAGTTTGGAGTAATTAAGATGTTTAATGTCTATGAAAGAAGCTTCTTATGCTCAACAAGGCTGCATTTTTTAAAATCAAAAATACAGTATAAACAGTGCTGCTTAATATTTTTGTGGATGCCATGATACACTACCATTCAAAAGTTTGAAGTAAAAAAAATAAAAATAAAATAAATGAATACTTTTATTAAGCAAGTATGCATTAAATGGATCAAAAGTGACAGTAAATACATTTATAATGTTACAAAAGATTATTTTATTCTTTTTGAATGTTCTTCTTTTGTACTTTCTATTCATTAAAGAATCCTTAAAAAATGTATGATGGTTTCCACAAAAATATGAAGCAGTTTTCAACTGCTGAACTGGATGCTTCAACTGTGATAATAATTAGAAATATTTTAGCATATTAGAGTGAGTTATTTTAAATTGTAATAATATTTCTATATTGTTTTTACTGTATTTTACATCAAATAAATGCTGCCTTGGTAAGCATAAGAAATGTCTTTCAAAAACTTGTGGTAAAAGACTAAAAATGCTATGGTAAAAACCTGTTAAATGATTAATAGTAAGTTCCTTTATACAGTGAAAAACTGAAATACATCTAATAGAATATAAATCTATATTTTACAGTGAAATGTTTGGAAGTGCAAAAGAAAAAAGTCATCTTATAATTTACAGTTAAAAAAAAAAAAAAACATAAGTTGACATTACCGGAAATCTGTGTGATGCTTTACATTTGATAGTTTTTCATTGAAATAGCTATGTGTCTTCTTATGTGTTTTTCTTATCCGTTATGTACATTGGTGTTTTATATGATTTCTTTATGTTAATGTTTATTGCATTATCTTAATGTTTGTTACCATGGTGATTTTTTGTGTTTATGTGTATGACACTGTGCACCTTCTATATAGTAGTATTTAGTATTTACCTCAGCTTGTGGTAAATGATGAACTTTAATGTGTCATGGGTCTTTCTCTTTACCAGCAGTAATTTAAAGGGATAGTTCAAACAAAAATGAAATTACCCCAAGATTTACTCACCCTCAAGCCATCCTATATGTATATGACTTTCTTTATTCAGAAGAATACAATCCGAGTTATATTAAAAAATGTCCTGGCCCTTCCAAGCTTTATAATGGCAGTGAATGGGGTTTAAGATTTTGTAGTCTCGCGTAGCCAAACCTTCAGATTGACGGCAGAAGGTCTGGGAACCTTGGCCGCTTTGAATGGCCAAGGCCCGCCCAAGAGGCCATATGACTGACAGGTAAAGTAACCAATCACTTTTCGTTTTGTGCCGCGTCATATTTAGGGGCGTGGAAATGTCCCCACAATGACAGACCGCCAAACTCTTGGACTTATTTGAAAGATTCTATGCCGCAAACTTTAAATATTTCACATACTTTTGAAAAGCTGGCGTTTAGTTGATCCAGATAAGCGCTCGTCGTCACAGTTGTAAACATATGATGACTTTCTTCCATGAGGGGGTTTGGCGTCACAGCATATTTGTTTCCAGGTGGAACGTTAAGGAATGTGACACACACGTCTCCCGGAAATCCTGTATATTTGAACCAGTCCAATAGGGCTGGGTTTTGACACAAATTTCACGATTCGATTCGATTCTCATTCACAAGCTTGCGATTAGATTTGATTCGATTCAATATCGATTATTTTGAATATATATCAGGTACAGTACATGGCAAATTTTCTCAAGGAAAAAAAAATCCCTCAACTAATGCTGTAAAATATACATGAGAGTCAGTTGGTACTACATTACTATAATATTGAAGGTTAAAATTGACTGATTTGTTAAAATTACACTTAATGGAAGTTTTTTAAATAATAAAGTTACAATTACATAATAATATTTCTACTTCAATTTATTTTTTTGAAATATAAACATAATGGTGGCTGTCATAAAAACTTGATGGATTTATTCAAACATAAATTAAACATTGAAGAACAGTCAAATTTATAATGAATATGTTATATGGTGCATATATTTAGCAAAATGCCCCTCCCTACAGTTTATTTTTCTATCTGACTAATGAGTTTATGGCCACCGAATAACGTTGTTTCTGAGGTAAATGTGACGTTACGTGACATTGTTTACAAGACGTTATATTGACATGAGACAGGATATGGATTGTAAAGTTGTACTCTTTCTTTTAACTTACCTTCAGATGTCAAGTCGTGTTTATTTTGTGCTGAAACTGGTATTAATGTGGAGGAGATGAACAGTTCACGTGCGCCTCGCGCTGCTGCGTCTGTTGATCTGAGGCGCTACAGCGATCTGTCACTCCACATTAAACAGCGCCAAAACGGCATTTATTGTTTGAATATTACAATACAATGGAAATAAGTTGAAATCTGAGACTTTGTTTCATATTAAAAGTACCAATGGTGCTCTGGATCGGCGTATACGACAGCGTGTTTCAGTTCCTGCCAATATCCAGCAACTTCGCACAGCCATTGAAGAGGAGTGGACCAACATTCCACAGGCCACAATCAACAACCTGATCAGTAAACATTTTAGAGTGGCCTTTTATTGTGGCCAGCCTAAGACACACCTGTGCAATAATCATGCTGTCTAATCAGCATATTGATATGCCACACCTGTGAGGTGGATGGATTATCTCGGCAAAGGAGAAGTGCTCACTAACACAGATTTAGACAGATTTGTGAACAATATTTGAGAGAAATAGGCCTTTTGTGTACATAGAAAAAGTCTTAGATCTTTGAGTTCAGCTCATGAAAAATGGGGGCAAAAACAAAAGTGTTGCGTTTATAATTTTGTTCAGTGTATATACATTTCAAACATTAATTATCCTTAAATGTCTTTTTGTTAATTGTGTAAGTTTTGTTATTTATTTCTGTTTTCGCCATGAAGATATCTTTGTTGCTGACATGGCATTAAAACATACAAACATTATTAGTAAACTGTAAGTAATGAAAGAACAAATAAATAAATTACCAGCAGTAGCACAAATAAATACTATAGAATCATCAGTTTTGTACTAAGTGTCTTTCACACTGGCCCTGGACCATTGGGCTGTTCTTATTGTCAAGCTCTGATAATATAACTATGCAAATGTTGGTTAAACATCTGCTAAAAAGTACATGTAAATAACTGTTTGACAAGTTGTTAGTGTCAGTACAGCAAATATCATTAAACCGTAATGTTGTTTCCATGTACTCACTGCATAGTACATATAAACTTTTTTTTCATCTAATTTATTGCTTTTATGTACTATGTTCTTGCCATGAAGATAGCCGTTCTGCTTTTTAAAAATATATAACAATAAATTATGCATAATTACATGCAAGTAACCCTAAGCCAACCCCTAATCCTAACTCTAACCATATAGTAGGTACATGTAGCTAATTAATATTACTCAGTTTATGTACTTTACTAATATAATGACTTTATTCATTCTTAGTGTTCAGCCAAAAACCTGAAAAATATCTCAGAGTTGTTCTACTATGCCCAGAAGGCTGTTCTGCACCCGACAGGACCGCTGTACTCTCCAGAAGACAAAGAGGTAAATATTACTTCAGTTGGACTGCTGGACCTGTTAATATGACCACTTTCTATTACAAAGAAGAACATCAAAATATTCAAATAAGTAATGTGTTCCCTTCTGTTTATTCTCCAGATGAAGCCTTCGTGCATCAAAGCACTTACTCGCATTTTCAAAATATCAGACCTGGACAATGATGGCATTCTAAATGATAATGAGCTTAATTTCTTCCAGGTGAGAGCAGTTTTCTTCAGCACTCTGTGCTCAAATTTCTGTGGCATTTTAATACTTCCTCAAATAAATGACAGGAGAGGTTGTTTACACACACATAGCTGCACAAACTGCACATTAATGAGAGCGTCATATCTTCTCAAGCAACTTTGTCGATGATTGTTGGTATTGCGTTGCAGAGAACTTGTTTTAACATACCCCTGGCACCTCAAGCCCTGGAGGACGTGAAGAATGTTGTGCGGAAAAATATGTCAGATGGTGTAAAAGACAATGGCCTCACACTGAAGGGTGAGCTGAGTAGAAAGACAAATGTTGCTGGCTTTTTATATCACAGTTATGCAGTGATACTTGGCTTCCCATTGCCATCATTTTGTTTAAAAATATATATATAGTATAGTGGATGTTTGTAAATTCCTCATGTTCCTTCATTTATCAGGTTCTGTTGTGTCTGAGATGTGTTCTTTGTTTTCTAGGTTTCCTGTTCCTTCATACACTTTTTATTCAGAGAGGAAGGCATGAGACCACATGGACTGTGCTCAGGAGGTTTGGTTATGATGATGACCTGGAGCTGACCCAGGAATACCTGTTTCCACTGTGAGTCCCACCCCAGATCCAGTACTTCAACTTTACATGAATCATGTCTCATCAAGTAGCTCATAGCTCATCTCTGGTTGGATCACATTTTTTGCAGATCTGTTGCGCTGCCCTGTTTTGCAAAGAAACGCACACATTCAAATTGTGGTTTTCTAATTAGTTCAGAAGAATTTCTAACATCTATTTGTTTTCCTAGGTTAAAAATACCTCCAGACTGCACCACAGAGCTGAACCACAACACCTACCTCTTCCTCCAGAGCGTCTTTGACAAGCATGACAAAGTGAGCTCAGCCAAATACAAGTTTTCCAAATAGCTGCATTTGATAAGGACGGTTATCTAGCTTCAGTCAGAGCATGAATGAAGACGATTGACTGACTGTACGCCGCCTGGCTCTTTGTTTAATTGCGTAATGCAAGGGTGTGTTTTACGACACCGCCTTGTAGAAGGACATGCCAGGGGCCATTCACAGGCATTTTTGATTTTTTAAAAGTTGGCTTAAGAAAAAATAGCGAGGCGTGATGCAAAAATGAAAGATACCCCATGTAGGAAAAATGTTAATGAACACAAGAATGCCCTATGAACTGAATCTATACTTTTTTCATCCCAAATTGTTTGTATATTAGGATCGAGACTGTGCCCTATCTCCAGATGAGCTGAAGGATTTGTTCAAGGTCTTTCCCTGCATGCCCTGGGGTCCCGATGTCAACAACACCGTTTGCACCAATGAGCAGGGCTGGATCACTTACCAAGGCTACCTTTCTCAGTGGACGTGAGTGCTGCCTTCATCCTACAGTACTTGAAAATGGAAATGAATGGAAACAATGGACTTTCTGATATTTGTGTTCCTCTGAATGAGTGACTTAAACATGATTTATCTCCATTTCAGTCTAACAACATACCTAGATGTGCAGCGATGTTTAGAGTACTTGGGTTATCTTGGTTACTCCATTATCCAAGAACAGGAGTCACAGACAGCTGCTGTCACAAGTAAGAGTGATTTAGTTTGCATCTTGATTGATTGTTTGATTGATTCATTCATATATAAGGCTGATTTTTAATTAATTGTGTTGTTGTTGTGCAGTCACGAGGAATAAGCGCATCGACCTGCAGAAGAAACAGACCCAGCGCAGTGTTTTCCGCTGCAATGTCTTAGGAGCTCGAGGCAGCGGTAAAAGTGGCTTTCTGCAGGCTTTCCTTGGCAGGAACCTTGCGGTGAGTACAGATGCCTCACAGGAGCATGTAGTGTTCTGACTTGGACTTGATTTTGACTGTCTCCTTCATATTGCAGCGTCAGAAGAGGATAAGAGAAGACCACATGTCTTACTATGCCATGAGCACCACTTATGTATATGGACAAGAGAAATATCTGCTTGTAAGTCAAAGTTCTGTTGCTTCGTCCACTAATGCATAGTCATCTTCATGTCTAGCCAGTGCTGATTGTTTTTCTCTCTCTTTCTCAGCTGCACGAGGTGCTTCCGGACTTTGAGTTCCTTTCTGAGGCTGATCTGGTTTGTGATGTTGTTTGCTTGGTGTATGACATCAGCAACCCGCGTTCTTTTGAGTACTGCGCTAAAGTCTACAAGGTTAGCATATTTTTAAAAGATATTTATCGGCGTTTTATATTTATGTCCTGGTTAAGCAATTATATGTTCTTCATTAAAGGTCACTTTGGTAAGAAAAATAATAATTATTATAATTCTGCTTTATTAAAATTTTCTTGACTATATTAAAAAGTTTGGGGTTGGAAATATTTTTTTTTATGTTTTTTTTAGGGCTGTCATCGTTAACGCGTTAATGCATGCGATTAATTTTACAATCCTTAACGCGTTAAAATAATTTAACGCAATTAACGCAAAATTACTGAAGCACAATTTCTATTCTAACCCTTTAACCCAATTTTGCTTCTCAGATCATTTTAAGCTAAACTCCGGGAAAGTTTTCAGTCCAATGATCCAGTAAGCGAATGCATTAAAACAATCCATCCAAAGCAGCGTTAATATAAAGGAAACCAGGCTGATTACATCAGAGATTGCAGAGAGAACAGAAACTCTCGTTGCGTTTTCAGTGAATTATTCATTCCAGTGTGTTTCGCTTTAAAACATGAGCTCTGTCATATTCTGTGATTGTCTCTGAAGAGCACAAGCCCTCACACGTCGCGCTGTGTGAAGTACAGACTGAACGGAATGTCAACACATCCCACCGCTGTATGGCCAGATGAGACGCGACTGGATAACCAGTCTCGCTAGTAAAGTTTTGATAGATGAAGACTGCAGTCAAGGTAAAGATGATTGCGGTGGCGTACAGGAGTCGTACAGTAAGCACGCATGAGTCCGTTATAATAATGCGTGTATGAGTGCTCTTGACGCACTGATCGCACATTGTATTTATGCACAGACATTTTCGTACATTCACGTTGTTTCCACACACATTCACGATAATGTTTTGATTTGTCATGTGTATGTTGCTGTGTTTAGTTATTCTGAATGGATCCGTCTGTAGTAGATCTATGCAGTCAGCAGGCGGTTGGTGTAGGTTTTTTTTGGCATCTCCATGTGGTCCTGTTCGGTATCGCAACTTGGCTTCTCTAAAATGTAAAAAATCTCTTTGCTGTTGCACTGTACACATACTATAAAATTCAGATTTTTTTTTCTTTCATATGTGTTTATATGGGCTCCTTATATCATTTGGTTATTTGGTGTCCTTTTGGAGTTTCTAAGTGTCCTTTTTTGGAAAGACATCTAAATTTATCTTGAAAAAAAGCTTGCAGAAAATACAGATTTTTGAGAATCACCCTTCAATCTTTTGGTTTACTTTGCTGGATATAGCAAATGATGACAAAATAAACATTTGAAACAAGAGAAATGGTCTATGCTTAGTTTCATGAAGTGTGCGATTAATCGCGATTAATCACAGAAAAAGGGTGTGATTAATCAGATAAAAAATTAATCGATTGATAGCCCTAGATTTTTTCAAAGAAGTCTCTTATGCTCACCAAAGTTGCATTTCTTTTATCAAAAATACAGAAAAACAGCAATATTGTGAAATATTATTACAATTAAAAATAAATATTTTCTATTGCAATTTTAAAATGTTATTTATTCATGTGATCAAACGTGAATTTTCAGCAACCATTACTGAAATTATTATTGAAAACCATTATTGAAAACCATTACAAAAAAAAAAGCTCAATAAAAAAAACACAAATATAACTCCACATATGTGTGATGTTCTTTCACAGAAACACTTCTTGGACAGCAAGACACCCTGTGTGATTATTGCTGCCAAGTCAGACCTGCATGAAGCCCGTCAGTACTACAGCCTGTCCCCGCTGGATTTCTGTCGGAAACACAAGCTTCACCCGCCGCAGATGTTCACCTGCAACACAGACGAAGCACCCAGCAAAGACATCTGTACCAAACTCACCACTATGGCCATGTATCCGTGAGTATACAGCTCCTTCTTCAACCAGACCCATCTGCTCCACTGTCTACTACTCCTGTTAGATCGTGATTGGCTCCTCTGACTCTCCCTCTTTTGTTTGTCTATCAGTTTATTGTCTCCTTTTGTGCTTCTAAAGCTGTTAGGTATCATAGTAGCAGCTAGCTGCAGTATCTTGGAAAGCTGATCTTTCATTCATTCGGTTTCAGAGTCGTTCGAGTATTATTTGTTCTATGGTCTTTTCATGTAGTGTATAACAATTTCAGGTTTCATTTGTTATGTAGTGGCAGGTGGTGATGCAAGCTATGCGCCAGTTCTTTCTTAAGGCTGTGTATGAGAACCTTAGTTTAAATCGTAACCGATTTTGACAATTAAAATTACATAATTTTTCCGGAAAAGGGTGTATGTGTAAAAGCGCCTGCTACTGGTCTGTACCGCTTTATACAATACAGAGTAGTGGTCGACCGATATATCGGCCGATATTTGGCATTTTTTAAATATCGGCATCGGCTGATACGTTTTCCTGTTTGGCCGATGCGCTCGAGGTGGGACTTTTATTTTGACGGCGCTGACAGCGGCAGCACATTCTCCCTCTTGTTTGCTGTGGTCATTAACAGTTCTGTCTAATACGGACAGAAATCTGTCTAATAATCAGATAGAACGGGTAAACAAAGTTATTAAAATGTATACAAAAAGTATTATAACGATTGCTTTTATATTATTAGTAATAGAAAGGCAAACATTATAATACTTTCTTGTTTGCCGTCAGCATTTAGCAAATACATATTTATATCTTTTAAACAAATCTTTGAATGACTAATGAACATTTAATATCACAAAGCTTGTAAACTTAGTCGGATCCAGTTGTGAGATCTTGTGAAGTGTGCATCTGTATCCTGCATGATCGCGTGTTCTCTGCGTGACAGTCGATCCGTGCGAATGTAATGCGGACAGGTGAAGAGTTCAGCTTCAATAGAGATGCATGATCGACAAACTTTAAACTCGTGATTTCAAATTATGCTGCGCTTTATGCATTTGCCCACTGCCATATTCATGTCATTTCCACTGTGTGCTGTATGTAAAATGAGTGTTACCTTGGCTTTATTTGGAAAAAATATGATTCCCAATGCACACAAACTTCCCAGAATACGGAGTGCCCTGTTGGTTACAGTGTTTACTTCCTTTTTTAATTATATATTTTTTAAAATATTTATTTATTTGTGAAAAATACTTTGTCATCTAAAGTATAAGTATGTTTATTTAACACATTTACTTTTTAATCCATTTTCAAATTTCTTAAACATTAATTCAAATAAATAAAATAATATCGGCTTTATATCGGCCATCGGCCACCCTACTTTCCAAGATATCGGCATCGGCTGTCAAAAAAAACCCAATATCGGTCGACCACTAATACAGAGTACTAATAAGCTTAATTTTTGGTAATCTATTCTTAGGAAAGAACTTTCATTTGAAATTTGCTCTTTTTTTTGTAGGGCAGCACAATTTGGCCCAAAACTTTAATTTACAGATCAATATTACAACAACAAAAACAACAACAATTTTATAGTGCATCTGTAAAATTTCCATACATATATGTATGGCTGTTTTAATCTCTTGTTTTCAAACATTAAACCCTCAAGCTTTTATTTTGGTGGCAAACTACAGGGAGCTCTTCTGGGGATAGTTCACAAAAAAACAGTCGTCATTTAGTCACCCTCAGGTTGTTCCAAACTTGTAAGAATTTCCTTATTCGGCTGATCACAAATGAACCGTTACTTATCCCTTTGACTTCCATAGTATTTTTTTCTTACTGTTGAAGTTAGTGGGTACCAGCAACTGTTTGGCAGTTTTAATTCTTGGGTGAACTGTTCCTTTAAACTACTTCTTGTTGACAGCAGTCAGTTTCTAAGTGCTTCTCATTACCAGTTTGGGAAGATGGTTGGTTCTCAAATGCATGTTATAAGGGACCAAAAAGCTCACAGCAAATGCAAAGATGGAGTTTGGGATGAACAGCATTTACTGCAAACTGAGCCGCCATGAGACATTGAAAACACTGACCAGATCATGAGCTGGAAAGTGGTGTGCTTCACTCTGAAATACGCAGTACAAATATTTAATTAAATTGCAGTCTTCATGATTTGATAATCACACAAAAACCATTTCACGAATTAGGTTTTATTTGGATTAATCGTGCAGCCCTATTCAACAGGTCATAAAAACCGTAATGATACCTACACTTAAATATTTTCTTCTCAGCCATGTCATCAATTGCTCTTGAGCGAAATCTCCTCCCATCCGTTGTCTGATTGGCATTTCGCAAAGATTCCTGGGTAGTTAAAGTGTGCGGAGCCTGCATCTATGCGGGCTTCGCGGAAGACCGCTTCAAGGGTACAAAGGGGGTGCTGCTGAGCACACTTCAGAGCGTTAAAATGCTGAATGGGACGGGCTACGGACTCGTAGACTCGGCGAGCACGCGCAATTTAAGTCCACGAGACCGAAAGTCCACATGAAGTGCGCCATTTGGGACAGGGCCTATATGAGGCGCCGAACTCTGCTAGCATCAGTGCGCGAGAGAGACCGAGTGTGTTCACTCTGCTCCGCGCTCAACTAAAGTTTTTTTTTTTTTTTTTTAATAATCAACGTCGCGCGCGTCGCGCGACACAACGAATCGATTATGAAATTCGTTGCCAACTCTTTTAGTAATCGATTTTTATCGATTTAATCGATTCGTTGTTGCAGCCCTACTCCCTGCACTCCTCCATCTCCAAGCCCAAGCAGAGAAGCAGCTTTGGGATCCAGCTCTCCTGGAGCTGTCACATGATACTGACTCTTCCTGTCTGTGTGTGTTTCTGCAGCCATGCCAAGTTACGCTGCATGTGCAGCTGCAACAGGTGCACCTATTGCATCTGTCACAACCTCCTGAACTCTGAGCTGGTGCGCTCGGTAAAGGCCAAACTCTACAGTGCTGTTCTGAACAGGTCTCTGAGTATAGCCCTATATATCCCCCATTCACCCACTCCGCAGGGCGATCTCTCTAACCTCGGCTTCTTAACACGCCTTCTTGCTGTTGGCCTGACAGGTTTACATTGCATATCCACAGAGAGATGTTGGGAATGTTCTGGCTATATGTTAAAATGATCACTTCTGTGTTATTTTAAAGTTCAAATTTATCATTAACTATCAAAAAGTCAGCGATGTCTCCAAGTAGACTGGTCAGATTCTCCCATTGACTCAGTTCATCCACACAAAGCCCAAACCTATGGCATTCTAGCAGCTCTTGTTGATTAATATTGCATTTGAATCCAGCATTTACTATTTAAGACTCAGTAATGCATATGAGGCTTGGTAGCGCACTTTTGATTCTGCTTCAGGCATCTTAGCAATTGTTTCTTAACCCAGTGTGCGAAGCCGACTAAATCCTGCTTGCGTGCTTGAGCTTAACTTTTTTTTTTTTTTTTTTTAAATATGAATGTTAATTTAAAACTAAAGATGGGAATAATTTTTTAAAAATACAAGAAACAAATTATTTTAATCTTAAATGATTTTAAACTGATCTTCAAATTATTTTCATTTTTTCACATGACTGTTGTTGAACACCTGAATTCCTCTGTCACTGCTGATAGACACTAAACAAGCATTTGCAAAACAAGGACTCTTATGAATGACTCATTAAAACCATTTAAAAAAAGGAATCTTTTGGATTTTGGACAGAATAAGACCGATTTGCATTTGTCCTCATGATGTTTAACCCTTCTTTCTAGTGAGTTGAGGTGGATATGCAAGCAGTAAATCTGCACTAATTCACTCGTCCTTGCTCCAGGGACAAATGTGGCCACCTGGTTCATATGAGCCCTTCCTTTTTGGTTGCATTTCTTCCTGAGTTGTTTTTAGATACTGAGCAGTTGATCTCTTAGATTGCATAGATCTTCTAATCTTTCTTACTGCTTCTAAAACGTAACACCAGAAGAATGCACGGGTGTGAGTTGAACGATTTCCCTATGCTTATTTACATAGAAAAGAATAAGTAACCTTTAATGTTATTGCAGAACTTTATTTTATACATCATATTTTCTTTAAAGCATGTGCCTGTCTTACACCCTTTTGGTTTTTAATCTTGTTCTCATGGTGCACAAAATTTTGTGAAAACTTTTTTTTATATATATTGAATTTAAATCTGTTGAATTTAATCTTGTGAATTTTTGTTCTGTCCCTTCATAGGTGTTCCTTTTCATTTGTTTGGCTTGCCCTTTTCGTTTTTGCTTTGCATCTCTTTACATCATGTTAGCAATCTCCCCGTCTGTCCCTATCCTCTCTAACCATCATCTGTTTCTCAGCATTAGTTAAGCAAGCTTCCTCAGGACTAACTGGTCATATGCAGTGATGTGACATCTAAACGGCCTAGTTTATGTGTTGGATTGTGTCTTTATTTGGATGACTAACATATCTAACCTGTTGCTGCTAATATAGTGTTTCATCTAAAACACAAGCTTCTCTTGCCATTATTGTTTGGTGCTTTGATGGATAGTATTTCATGTATTGTTCTTGACTATGTCATTTAGCCAGTCATTTTACAGTCAGTCTGCTGTTTAAGAAGTGTATCGTCTTAATTTACAGGTGGTTAAAAAACATAGCACAAAAAAACAAATATATATATCCCTTGTGCGACCTTTTGGACATTTTTGTCCTTTTCAGTTTTGTTTTTTTGATCATTTTACCTGTGTTATTGCCAACTGCATAAATTGTGGCACAGGTGTGTATTTTTTAGGGCTGCACGATACATCGCATGCGATATTTAACGCGCATCTTGTCAGAAAGCCGGTTCTGTAATCAGCGGTAAATCTCCATCACCTGCAGGCTTTCACATTGAGCAGCATTAACTACACAGAGCCGTTGTTCACTGACGAGCTGCGCAAAAAATCGCGCGAATATGAACGTGGTTTTGCGC